CAACCCCAACAGCAGCCAAGCAACAATGGTTACGGTTCGCCACAGCAGCAGCCGCAGCAACAACCAAGAAGACCCACACCACCAGAGCAAAGTCAGCAGCGCAATCAAATGCAACAAATGGCATCGAACTATGTTACTCCTGATCAACGTGAGGAACAGAGACAGATGCAACTGGCTGCGCAAAGACAGCGAGAATTTGAGATCGCCGAACAGAACCGACTGGATATGGAAAATTATAACGCATCAATTCCTCAAACTCGCACGCCAATGGCCAAACAGGAGATTGGTGGCGGTGGTTATTCGAGCAGTCCATCCCAAGACCGCTACAACCCGACTAGGGTGGCACCTTCTGCCCCTCGTCCGCAGCAAGGACAACAAACCGCTGCTCAAAGACCAGCCCAGAGACAAGCTCCGTCTGCGCCAACTTCGAATGGTCCAGCCAGACCACCACTTACCACTCAGCAAAGCTCTTCTTCTGTGAGAGACCAAAATGGACCCGAGAGACAAGATCCTCGATATCAAAATGGCCAAGCCGCAAGTGCATCCCAGCAGCAGCGACCAGTTCAGCAACAACAACCACCGTCTAGGTTGCCTGCCCCAGTCAACAACGTCAAGCCACTTAATGTCGCACCAAAACCAGCTGCTAATGGCGCCCAACAAAACGATGCGGTCAAAGCTGCGGAAGCTGCTCTTACCGCTAAACCAGCCGCTTCTGAGCGCACAAAGGATGTTAGGATGTCAACCATGTCGGAGAACGAGGTTATGGCTAAATTAAAGGAAGCTGTTTCCAAGGATGACCCCAACCTTTCTTACTCCAAGCAGAAGAAAATTGGACAAGGTGCTTCAGGCTCTGTATATGTTGCGAAGGTCAAAGAAAACCCAGCATCTCCCGTTGCTCGTGAAGTGCTGCGTCAACAAGGCAGCAAAGCTCAGGTCGCAATTAAACAAATGGATTTGGCTCACCAACCGAGAAAGGAGCTGATTGTAAACGAGATCATGGTTATGAAGGATAGCAAGCATCGCAACATTGTCAATTTCCTCGATGCTTTCTTGAGAAACAACTATACCGAACTCTGGGTAGTTATGGAGTATATGGAGGGAGGTGCCTTGACCGACGTTATTGACAACAACTCGAACATTACTGAAGACCAAATTTCCACCATTTGCCTCGAGGTATACTTCAAATCCGATAATCTGTTCTGTGTATCTGTACTAACTTTTTGATAGACTTGCCGTGGACTCGAGCATCTTCATGCACAAAGCATTATCCATCGTGATATTAAGAGTGACAATGTTCTGCTCGATGCACGTGGTAATGTCAAGATCAGTAAGTTCATCCAAAATGATTAATATTTCTTTGTACTAACGTGCTTGTAGCCGATTTCGGATTCTGCGCCAAACTCACCGAATCTAAATCCAAGCGCGCCACCATGGTTGGTACTCCTTACTGGATGGCTCCTGAAGTTGTCAAGCAAAAGGAATACGGACCAAAGGTTGATATTTGGTCTCTTGGTATCATGGCTATTGAGATGATTGAATCTGAACCCCCATATCTCAACGAGGAGCCTCTTAAAGCTCTATACTTGATTGCCACAAATGGCACCCCTCGTCTCAAGAAGCCTGAAAAGCTCAGTAAAGAACTCAAGGCTTTCTTGTCCGTCTGTCTTTGTGTCGACATTAGAAGCAGAGCATCTGCAGATGAACTGCTGATGCACGACTTCTTGAAGCACGGTTGTGATACTGCTAGCTTAGCTAACCTCCTACATTTCCGAAAGAACGCCAAATAAACAACCAAAAAACTTTACGAGAGTTAATGATAGAACGTTTACGAAAAGCGAGCAATTGGTGGCATTTCGAGTTCGTATTTGGAAGCAGTTAAAGCTGATTTAATTTTATTTTGCGACATAACGCAGGTTACATCGTGGGTTATATTGTGTGGTACCTATACTATACCAACAGCATGAATGCCCGGAGTTTCTGGGAGTTTCACATTCTGTTTACTTTGCGCGACATATCTAAGATCTGAATAATCGTGGTCGCATGTCAATGACATATCTGGAGGCATATAAAAGCTGGACCAAAAGGAACAAACTTCACGTTCTGCTTTTACCTACTTTGGCTTCTCGATGATCTTCCAGTTTGTGGATAGCTAGGTACCTTGGGGATTTTTCGAAAGTAGGCCTCAAAACGAGGATATACTTTACGAGAAGATGGCCGGAAAGGGCAGTAATAGGCGTCAGGTAGATTATTTGAAGAGAAATAAGAAAAGTTAAAAATATAACAGATACTGTAATGATTGTGATTATGAAGAAAGTGTGATGCTACTACTAATCCATGTGTGTTTTGTTCTGATACCGGAATTACTACCTACTCACTTGTATAATATGAATCCTGGAGAGAGAATGTAAAAGCATAAAAACGGACATCCCGAATCTTGACCCCCCAGAAAGCTTCTAGAACTACTAGGTGCGTAGGTCCACGGATAACCTTACTAGTGTCCTATCTAGTCTAGCCTCGGTCAGCCTGACAGATCTGGCCTCGTCACCGGTATACCTAGCCTCGCAAGACGCTGCCCAACAATTTAAGTTAAGAACGTCAGTTCTATTGCACAATATTGGGGATTTCTTCACACAAATCATCTTAAACGTTTCAAAGTCGATTTCAAAAGATGGCGCCTTTAATACCGTCTGCAAAATTGACCTTGCCATATCCATTGTATGCTTGCGACTTTGATCCGATAGATTCCTCACGACTAGTAGTTGGTGGGGGCGGAGGTGCAGGAAGATCAGGTGTGGAAAACAAGATTGTGAGTCTGAGAATATGTCTTCTTGAGAGAGAGGTTCATATTGGAAACTGATTTCCTCTCATGTATGTGCTAATCGCTATACTTTCTAGACCCTTTTGGACACTTCAAATCCGAACGAGCTTGCTGAGATTGCCGAGCTAGACCTGAGTAAAGAAGAAGACAATGTCGCCAGTCTTGCAGTCGGCCAAACTCAAGGAGATACAACCTTAATATTCGCCGGAGTAAATTCCAGTCCGGCGGACTTGGCTAGAGGGACGAATGCGCACTTTCGAGTTATTGGGATAAGCCCGGTTTCAAAAGGAAAGGGAAAGGCTACAGAGCCTGCTGCGATAACGAGCAAACTATCCGAGGTTTTGAGATGCCCATTATTTACCAATGTCGAGAGGGATTTATACCAAAGGGCCATTCGATTATCGCGACCTTATGCAGGACAAGCACAATGGGGTGCGATTGCGACCGGGTTTGCGAAGGATTCTGAAATAGTACTTTTTCAACCTGCGCAAAATGGACCACCTACTTCGAGGAGTGCTATAAAGTTGGCGAAGGAAATTGTTGACATGGATTTCATACAAACCGGCAAAGATGATTATCTCTTCGCGTACGCCGATGAGCAAGATATATATGTTAAAAAGCTTGGCTCAATAGATGATGGGGCAGAACCTGAGTGTGTGTATATCACACCTGCTTCAAGAAGTGGGGAGCCAGTTACGATACCGTCTTTCAGATCGATGAGATGGTTAACAAAGGATTTCATCATCATGCTCACGAACATCCATAGCCAAGGAGGTGTAGTACTACAGATTCTCAGATTACCACCCAGTGGTAAAGGACAGTGCAGAATCGCGCAATCACACAGACTCCCATCCAGTGTTAAGAAGGCTACTGGGCTAGCAGTTGTCAACCTTACACCACCATCAACTCCCGATGGAGAGCAAGGCTACACTCAATTCGTGATTGCGGTCGCTGGCCACGATATTTCCATTTCCCTCTTCAAGGTTGATCTCCAACACGAAGTAAATAACTACCTCGTCACACCTATCAAACCTTTCCGAAAATTCAAGAATGTTCACCCTGGAGTAATTACAGGAATTACATTCTCAACCTTTACACCTCCCACCCAATCTATTACTGCAAGCACTCCTCCTCAGCACCTCAAACTCGCTAGTACAGGTATCAGTAATACCGTTATCGTCCACACCCTCCCACTATTCCCCGTTCCTTTATCTGTTAAAAGAGGCCAATCAAGCACACCTCGTTATGTCGTCGCTCTCCCTTCAAGCAAAGCAATTTACTCTTTCGGAATCATCTTCTCTATGCTTCTAGCGTTGTTAGCAGCAATCCTAACGCAAAGTGTATTGGAGATCAGGGGGGTTGTGGAACCTCATTTAGGCGCCGCAAAGTATCTACCGGTACCCTTACAGGAGGCAATTGGGAAACCATACACGTTTCCGTCTAATTATCACGCACTCAATACACACATCTCCTCCGCTCCGATCTCCACAAGCCTGTCGGGTACACCCTCCGCCTCTACCCCAGACTTCTTCGCGTCCCTCCGCTCCCCCTCCCCTAATTCCGCTCCTTCTAAGATCTACCTCCACCACGGACCTCCTGTCCCAGACTTTGAAACCCAAGACGTATCCCCCGATATTACGTCGCCAGAACTTTCTTCATCTATAAAAGCAGTTCTTCACGACGAGGAAAAACATGAAGGCAAATCATGGGATGAATTGACGGCCCCGCAAAAAGAAAATTGGAAGAGAAAATTGAAGGATGCGGGACATTGGGCTGAAGAGATGGGAGAAGCGATTTTCAAGGGGGTCGTTTTTGGTGAATTGGGAGGTTTGGTCGGAGCGGCTGTTGTGCAGGCCGCGAGATAAGAGAAGTTTTCAAGAAGGAGCGATTGCGAGAAGTGGAAATTGATAGTATGAAAGGACGAAAGACTGAAGATGATTTGGAAAGACGTTGTATGATAGGTCCGTGATGTATTGGATGTTGGATGTTAGATATTAGATGCTGGCTGGCGAAATTGTGAGCAACTTCTTACCTTTCTTCTTATTTATTCAATGTGGTTTGTGGTACGTCATGGCGCGATTACAGAGACGTTATGAGATACGGTAGATGGGATGAATGTAAACTACGAGACACATATATTTCATTTCTCTCATATTTAATAATAACTACATACGAAATTTTCCCGACTGAGATCGATCTGGGGAAACCATCTAAGAATTTTTTTTTTCTACGATGACACCTCATAACTTTTCTATAGGTTATGTTCAATGCTCCTATCTGATGATTCAGATTGTTGTAAATGGCAGAAGTGCTGCTGTATGCACCTAGTTGGTTGTAGGTGAAGAACGGTTGATCTTGAGCGCGATTCTTAATGCCATCTATCTCTTAGACGTGCCTGTATTGATTTAAATAGTCTTTGTTTCCGATTAATCATACTGGATCGTCATAATCTCGTGTGATATCGCGTGATCGCGTCATGTTTGATACCTTTAGCCTAAATCTTGTAAAGCAAGACTTTTCCCGTAACCACAAATCTAGCTGCACAGAGGAAAAAGAATCCTACGAGCAGAGACGATGCTGCGAAGAGCTGAGCATATAGATAGCGACCGCTATCTCTTGTGATTAAAAGACCAGCGATGGGAGGACCTGTCAGCACCGCGAAACTCACGATCGTCTAGCGAAGTCAGTTTTCCTTCTCATTTTTACTCAAATATGTGGATGAGGTACTCACAAAAATCATTCCCATTCTCACTCCCGCTTTCTTCAAATCCGTTGTCAGGCTACTCAATGTTGCTGGAAACATCATTTGAAGAGCATTCCCAACAACTCCATAGACCACTGCCCATGCGTAGAGACCTCCTCGAGTTGTAACTCCAATCATTGCATACGCACATATGATACAGGCGACGGTGACCATGAGGAGAATGTTCATGGGTCCTGTATAGCGATCTGCAAAATACGCGGGAACGGTGCGTCCTAGAATGCCAACACCGTTGAGGATGAGAAACATGTTGAATGATTCTTTTTGGGGTATATTGATGATGTCGACCCCGAACGAGCTCAAGTAGTAGAAAGCGAAATAGACACCCCAAAATACCAAGAACATTCCTATCGCAAACAAGGTGTAGGATGCTTCTCTGAAGGCAGCGAGTTCAATGATAGGACCTGTTCTACGAGGTGGAAGTCTCGGTTTCGCTAATATGTTACAGATCGTCAAACAGCCTGTAGTGAAAAAACCAAAGATTCTCATGGTCCATCCATAGCCAAGAGGTGTGATTAGTTGTTGAAACATGACGGGGAAGATTAAGCCTCCTGTAGCACTACCACATGCACAAATGCCGACGGCTAACATCTTATTCTTTGAGAAGTATGTGGATGCAACTGAGAGCGCTGGACAGAATAGACACCCATTGCCGAGACCACAGCAGATTCCCTGAGCGAGGAATAATTGCCAGTACTGTGTTGATAGGGAGGCCATAAACATGCCTATCACGCTAAGTACAGTCCCGACCACTATATAGAATTAGCGTCGTGCTTTCATTTAGAGCAAGCCTCGAGGTAGTTCGACTCTAGCGAATAACGAGAAAATATTACATGCTAGAGATAAAGTAGAGCAAGGGAAAAAAATCTGTTACTCACAAAAGACTGGACGAAAGTACCCAGCATCGGTAAGACGACCAGTAAATGTTCCAATAAAGAATACCAGAAATACCTGGACACTCCCGATCCACGATACATCCGAGGGAGAACGACCAAGAAAATCGATATAGTACTCCTGAAAGACACCAAACGAGTTGATGAAACCCCTAGACTATAGTCAGCATAATCATAGGTTTTCGAATGACATGAAGTACGCTCAAACTCTTTGAGGAATTAAAGGAGTAAATCACGGAGACGAAAGACTAGAACCTACCAGGTATTCATAATGATCAAATGTCCGACCAAGACTTGCGTCCACGCGACAACTCCGCCATCGGGAGGAGGACCTGGATCTTTCCAGCTCGCTGCACTCTTCGTTCGGGAAAGCACTCTTAGGCTTCTCTCTTTGATGGTCTCGGGCTTGATGATATCCTCCTCGGCTTCATTCAGAGCTTCTGGATAGACTTCGAATTCTTCCTTCTCGGTCATTTTGATGAAGTCGGTTGAGGAAATAGTGCCACTCGATCACTAGAATGTATAGGTAGGTAGGTATACTGATCTGATTCACTTGATTATAAGAATTCTTCTATGACGCAGGTGAATAGATGAATCTTTGATTTCAAATCAGTATTTCTGAACGTTCCAGAAGAATGGTCCAACTCACCTAGCAGTTCCTCGAAAAGGTGTTTGTAGTCAAACAACCGATATTCACAATCAGACAGGCAAGTCAGAAGGAGAAAAGATTCAAAGGAAATAGAAGCGGACGATTCAACAACCTCGGTGATTACATACAAAACGGCAAAAATCATTTACTTCATGCACCTATTTGAAGATTTTCCCACTGCAGGGTCCGTCAAACTATATCTGACTCAGCTCATGACCAGCATCGGCAACAACGCCCATTCCAGTAACCATCGTGCATAGGCTTTCCGAAGTCCATTTCTCACTAACCCTAACGCATATGCACTCTGAATAAATACTGAACAACGAGACAATGTTACCTTCGTTGATCACCCTAGCATCTCGTAAAGTCTAGTTGATCACCCTCGCATTTCGTAAAGTCTCGATCTAGATTCCACGATAATCACACCTTCTAATTCTTACACTGATTAGCCATCCTCACACGGACTAGTTTCTCGCGTAATCTCGAGTTAGAGCGCGGGAGTCGATTTTTACGCTATCCACACTAGCGTTCCTCGCACAATGTTAACGTTGCAGGATGCTGCTGCGGCTACCCGGAGAAAAAATGTCCCCTACAAGGATTGTACATCCCGGGAGACGATCTAGATGTGCTCTGTGGAAGATTATGTGCGCGATGCATGCAGGATGTACATCGGGATGGGGGAACCCCTCATTGGTGGCTCGTGGCGTGCTTTGCTCGATATAAAGCCAGCTGGTTCATGGATAGGGGGTAGAGATAGGTCCAGATCGAGGAATTCCATATTCCACCAATAGTGCGATTCAGATGCGACAGCGGTTTCCGTGGGATCATTTCAATAGGCGTCTATTTCGTGCAAGCGATACTACCTCCAAGTGGCAAAGAGATGGATCGAATGTCGGTGAGGCTTATGGTACTTAGTGGTTGCAATTTGCAAAGTGTTAATAGATATGACACATGTTGATTGATTATATGATGAATAACCACTGCGTAGCACGTGCTATGCACGTTTCCAAACGGGAATAGTGCTTACGCTGCAACCCCATGCCCAACAGTTGAACGCGAGACTTTGATCCCCGCAGACTATAATACGTGTTCAGCATTTCGCGGAGGGAAAAGCTCACTCACTATCGTGAAACAAAATTTTAAGCAGAGAAACATCTCGCTGCATTTGATCTGCGAAAATGGCCGCACCGCAAATTATTACCCTCGCAGTCTCCCAATCTCACACGCTGTCTACCACGGCGGAAACGCTCGAGGCTTTGTCACTTCAGTGTCGCAAGGCGTCCAAGCTATCCCCCGCTCCGGATTTGATCCTCTTCCCCGAGGCCTATCTCGGTGGGTATCCCCGGGGAGCGGATTTCGGGGCTGTGGTGGGCTCGCGCGATCAGAAAGGTCGAGAGCAGTTCTTGAATTATTTCAAGGATGCGGTGGATATGGGTGATACGCCTGAGGGGGCGGGAGAAAAATGGGTCAAGAGGGAGTTGGAGGGACAGGGAGAAGGGAGTAGTAATGTGAGAAGGGGAGATGGGACGCGCGAGGAACTGGAGTTGGTGGCGAGAGAGACGGGAATTTTTATCGTGACGGGGTTTGTGGAAAGAGCGGGTGGAACGCTCTATTGTGCTGTGGTTTATGTGTGTCCGAAATTGGGAGGTGGGTGTTATATTTCTCGGCGTGATAGATTTGTGAGAAAGTAGAAGCTAACTTGGCGATAGTCATTGGTAAAAGGAGAAAAGTGATGCCGGTGAGTCTTTCTTCTGGAAATATCTTCACGTCCCGGATACAATCGCTTACTATATACAGACAGGAAGCGAACGCTTGGTATGGGGTCAAGGCCAACCATCCTCGCTCCGCGCCGTAACCACCACCATCAAAGGCGTCAAACTAACCCTAGCAGCTGCCATTTGCTGGGAGAACTACATGCCTCTCTTGCGCCACTCACTCTACAGTCAAAACGTCAATCTCTATCTCGCTCCCACCGCCGACAATCGCGATGCCTGGACGGCGCTCATGCGAACGGTAGCTTGCGAGGGCCGATGCTTTGTCCTGAGTGCTAATCAATGCATCAAGAAACAGAACCAGCCAGCGTGGATCTATGGCGAGAAATCTGAAAGCGAGGAGTTTACATCTCGAGGAGGTTCTTGCATTGTTTCTCCGCAAGGAGAGATTTTGAAAGGCCCGTTGTGGGAGGATGATGATGGGTTGATTACGGTTGAGGTTGATTTTGATGATTGTGTGAGAGGGAGATTGGATTTGGATGTTGCGGGGAGTTATTCAAGGTATGTTTGTTCTCGGGAGATGGTCTGGGACGTTTCTAACATGATTTGATAGAAATGATGCGTTTAAGTTGACGGTGACTGGACTTGATCTTAGTCCCCCTCTTTGAAGGAGTGGCGAGGTACCTTGAGTTACATTGAATGATCTAACTTGTTTAATACTTTGGATTGAGGCCCCTTGCAAAAGCGTGTAATCTAAGTAGTTAGGAGAAATACATACAGATCAACTATCGTGCTGATGGGTATTCATATATAATTGTGACCTTTTTCTCTAGGAAATTTGAAGAGTGGATTAGCCATAAGTACTATACGTTGTCAATAGTAAGCTGTAACCAGACATCTCAGTAATTTGATGCTACATCACATTAAAATGAACATATACAAGAACAATCATCTCAATTGCCAACATAACACTCTTTGTCCAAACTTTCAATCACAACTAGACAAAATTGAAATTCTCATTGACAACAAAACGACCTATGTAACTTTATACGAAACCCTCGTCAAGCCCTTCGAACGCGAAATCTTCTTCACCTCAATCTTTCCCACCTGACTACAATCATGCACATGGGTCCCCCCACAAGGATAACTCCCCAAGCCCTCCATCTCCACCACTCTCGCCATGACCTCTCCTTCCGGCAACGCAAAATCATCCGTCACCCCACTACACTTCTCCCTCACCTCCTCCATCGGCCACCAATGAATCCGAACCGGTCTCGCCAATTTTACAAACTCATCCGTCTTCGCCTGAATTACATCCTTATGCTTCCCCTCAATCGCCCCTCCAAACACCACCGCCGCCGAATCCGGATAATGCGACGCCTTTGACTCCGTCAGCGGCGCAAGCACGCCTTCGCGAACGAGCGCTAAAATAGCAAGACTGAGAATGTGTCCCGCGGTATGGAAACGCGAATACAGATTTCGTTTCTCGGCATCGACATGTTGATGCACGATTTCTCCGCTCTCGAAGGGCGGCGTTCCCACGGGGGAAAAGCGGCCGAGGTGAAGAATCTGGCTGCCGTGAGCGGGCTGACGCACGGATTTTACTTCGAAGATGGAGGTGTTTTTGCGGGGGATTTCGGAGGTCATGGTTCCGGTGTCGAAGGGCTGACCGCCGCCTTGGACGTAGAAAATGGTGGAGTCGGTGATGATGGCATGTTCGATGTCGGAGGAGTCTTTCAGGAATGATTGGTCGGGGTCTGGGAGGGCGGAGACAGGGATGATGGAGAGGATTGTGGCGGGGTGGAGGAGTTTGTCTCCATCTTGTTGATAGATTAGTTTGGTTGGTTCGGACATCTACTGATTTATCAGTACCTAGGTGCGTGCAGGAAAATCCAAGAAGAGAGGGAAGGGATACTTGAGGACTTGGGGTCAGGTTACACATACGATCTTTGAGCCACACGTGTGGTTTCTAACACTCAGTCGCTTACTGTGTAAATTTGCCGAGGTCAAACACTGCAGAAGAGAATGCGATCTTCTGAATCGGAACAACTGCATATGCGTTTGTCAGAGACGTGAGTGCAGGTGAAAATACATAGTATTTATATATCCAGCTTACCTACCCACCCAGGCACGCTTATAGCTTAATAAGTATGGGAACTTGAGGGCGGGGGTAGAAACCCCTGCAAATGGCGCCATGCATATGCACCTAGGTACCTAGGTACCCAGTTAAGATGGTTCTGTGGTCCAAGCTTTGTGGCCACACTCCACAGACGAAACACCCTGTCGATTGCACCGGTCTCCTCTATACCGGATCCCCGAATGTAGGCTTACTATAATCTTACAGCCCCATTAGTCTTAGGTGTTGATCTTATCCTTGCATTGCGGCTATATGGGCCCTGTCATTTCTACCCCTGGCATCACAACACAACATTAACATAAAAACACTCGAAAAAATTGTTCTAGATCACTATCTGTAGGTGTATCAAGCAAACTTTGAAAAGCATCGAAAGTATTGATTCTATTGATTGACGAACGAAAAGAAGCTACAAAAGAAAGAAGACACAGGTAACCAACCGATGTAGATACAAACAGCCCCTCAAAAATACCCATTCCCTATTTTCACCCCTGATACCCCACTACTACGTGATACTTCTAACCTCCCCAAGTACTTGCTGAGCCTGTTCCCATTGATCCCGATCCCTCACATAGCAAAGATTCTGCGCCTTGATAGCACAAGGCAGAAAACGCACAGAATCAATCACATAAGTGACAGTACCACCAACCCCATTCAAAGATGCAGCAATAGCGACATCACACATGGTATGACACGCGCTACCCCAATGCCCAGCAATAGCTTCCCGAGTCCATTTCTGTTCCAGCTGCTGCTTCAACTCGAGCGTTTTGCTTTCCAAAGTGGCAATCTCGAGATGTCGAAGCGCGTCCATGATGATGGCAGCAGCAGGAGCTTCGCGGATCTCGAGAACCTTGTGATCGGTGCTAAGAGGCTCAAGCCCTACAAATCGACCGTGACCATATTTTCCTACTTCATTGTTGAGAAGCGCAATAGCCTGAATAAGAGGGAGCTTTTTCCCATCAACGGAAATGAGATTTCCATCTTCGAAACCGAGTGTGAGCTCTTGTGTCGCGTGCTCTTTGTAGCGTCTTGTCCATTCATAAGCATTCTCTGGGATAGAGAAGCCCTCTGGATCACCCAAGGGGCCGTCCTCAAACTCCCGACACCATAGATTTTCATCACCGCTAAGCTTGCGCTCAGACATGATGGACAAGCCAGCTACAGAAAGCTCTTCGGCCTTCTTCTCTCGCGAGACGACAGATTGAGGATAGGGACTCCCGAACTTTCCAGGGTAACCAAGACGTCGAATAAAGTTATTGAGTCGAGGCAAACTATTCTGCGACAAATTGGCCGTATGGAGCAGCAAGCCCGCGTTCACAGACTTAGCATAATCGGTGACCAAGCGCGCGATAATCGGACGAGTGAGCGAACTGCTAATTGGGAACTGTCCCAAATACATTGCATGAGCACGAATAGCTGGCATAACACCATCTCTAACGAAAAGCTCGCGACCATCGAGACACTTGAACTGGGCGCCTAAGTGAGCAGCGTGTTTGGTAAGCCCGTCCACATCGACAGGAGCCCCAACATCTACAGCCACAGCGTGGATGTTTGTAAAGCCGAGCTCTTGGAGTCTGAGGAGCAAATATGTGCTGTCGAGACCGCCGCTGAACATGGTGACAACGGGAGTATCTCTATCATCGAGCTTCGCAATGTCCGCAAAACTTTCGATAGGTTTGCTGTGTTGCATGGAGAGAGGGAGGGGAAGCACATCCTCAAACTTTTGTGCTGGCCGCGGGAGCTTAACGCCGTTGGATTGTTTACTCTGCTCTTGTTAGTATATTGCCTTTAGGTTGGAATAGTATACGTACCATTGTGATAAGTGATTGTAGAAAAAGATTGTGAAAAGTAAAGTGTCTTGAATGGATTGAGATTGAAGTTTGACTATCCAAGAGATTGTTGAGAAGTTCAAGTAAGATCGCAATGGCTAATTATACTTTGCGGAAAGGCAAGTGTTCTTAAACAGCTGTTACTTATCTTACTAAATCAAAATGGTCACCTCGCTGATGTCTGTTGTAGATTGCACCAAATCATCTCGGTTGACGTGACTGTATCCTTTGATTGCATTGGCTTGGCCATCCTAGATCTTTGAACATGGCACGCTGCAGCTACTAGGATTCATTCTTTCGTTGGCAGGAAGATGTAGCATGTTGCAGTTGATTTCCCCACCGATATTACGGCCGACGACTAAGTATCTATAGCTTCACACTTCACCGCTATCGAAATCAAAGTTTATACTCGTCACATGCATAGTAGAGATCTTATGGACGGACAGCTTACTATTCTCATTCTTCGCTTACCCGAAGATGATCTTGACCTTGAAAGATTAGTGTACATTGAAAACGAGTACTCTGACCCAATCAAGTCATCACACAAAATATAACTTTGAAGAAAGGCAATCTAGCTAGCGTTGATGCGAACTACGACTCTAAAACCCTTGTTCAAAGAAAAGGAGCCTTATGAGTGTGAGCATCCCCTACTTTCCCCGCACAATCTAGAATTAGAAAGTACGAACCGTTAACTGCATATGAACGCGAACAACGTTACATTGAAGAAACAGAAAGATCTAGATCCTAAAAAATTTCTGAGGTGAATATAGTTTACTCTTGGCATGTTTGTCTCAAGCCACTTGATCTCAAAGTGGTTTACTCCAGCGTAGACAGTTTAGACTGGATATTCGGGGATGAAGTCCAAGCTGTCAGAGGATGAATTCGTTTTATGTCAAAGCTAGCAAGCAAATCAATTACCTAGCAATATGGCTTATTTGTTCTTGTAAGAACTAGCTCAGATCTAAGGAAACTTGAGAATTCTCGGATGACCCTGCAGATACAACTTGAGGCGGCTCATACCCTTGTTATATGAACTTAGCTAACGGAGGAAGTGTTTCGCAACACAAGGCTAATCATCGTTTACAAGCCGATTCAGATTGCTAAGATCTTCATAAAATTATGGAGATAAAAAATTAAGCCACCAATACCTTCGACTCATCTTGAAGCTACTTGGTGGCGACATAAGCTTATTTGTCGCTTAATTGCATAAGCCTTGTCAGTCAGCGTGGCGAATGTGAAAAAGTTGAGTTTTCACGTATGCAAGACCCTCCGGGCTTGACTCCCGAGACTGCGAGATCGCGTAACCCGGAGACAAATCATTTGTCTAACCTGCAGCACACTTCAATGTCGTGATTGTGATGTGGAGAAAAAATGTGAATGAGTAAGATTTGGTTTCTGATCCCAGCTGCCACTTAAGCGCTTTTTTTGCAGAACCCCGCACCCTAGGATATCACGCAATGCGATGCATCATTAGATAAGCGATCAAGGGGCTGTATGAGCTTTCTTCAATACTACCGTAGTACTAAAGAAATGCGCCATTATCCAAGCCGTATACTCTAACATAATGTTTGATTAAACCCGCTCTTAGGGCTTATCGGAAGATGATTAGTGTCGAAAAAAGCTTCAATACAAGAGCTAGAGCCCCTCGCTTGAAGAACGCACGTCTAGACTCTTCTGGCGGGCGACAGCGATCACATGATGCCATGGGCAATTTACCCACTAAGCTTCGTACATTCCGTCTTGAGTAGCATCGTCTCGTACGCCGTTTGTAGCTATGGTTGTAAGATCGGAATGATGGTTTGACTGCCAATCATCGTGAAGTTAACGAGGCGGTCAGATCTTGACAAACGATTTGACGTGATTTGACGTGATTTGACAGTCACAGTCAAGGGACTTGACAGTCAGAATAAGCTTGTGTGATGAAGGGAAATTCCTGATGAGAGCACTTTGGCGCTCGCAGGCGTTGATCGAAATGAACTGCGCACCTAAAGATTCTTTCCAATTTTCAACCCTGTACTGGGATATTGAAGAATGGTCTGGACATGCGCGATCCGGTACTACATGGTAGTTTCAGGAATAGACTCGTCGAACATCTGATTCATCTCAACTCTGATTGATACCATCCGGACTGTTTTGATATGACAACGGTATCCAGGAGAGAGGTGGACATGGCATGATCTGACACTGCAACTTGACTGTCATATCACATCCTCACATGGGTGAGCTCTTGGTCAGCACTGGCGATGTCTTTAGATGCGAGCGGTCATTCAAACACTTGTTGAAGCTCATCACGATCTTGCCACCCTCCAGCTATATAAGATAGTCTAAAGCTGCAACTATTTGGATTCAAAGCATCATTTCAATCCAGATCTTTATAACTTCACACACACTCTCATCAGCATTATCATAGTTTCAAATCTCCAGCAATGGCTATCACTGACCCCATCGTCGTTTCAAAATCTTTGCCAACCATTTACCTCGATCTCCTCCGAGCCGAGAATGAAGCAGAGAGCAAGAAGTTGCTCGACGCTTGTCGAAACTATGGGTTCTTCTATCTCGATTTGACCAGCGATCCAGAGTTATGCAAGCTCTGGGATGAAATGCTCCTAGTGATGAAGTATTACTTTGAACAGTCGCTTAAAGTTAAGATGCAGGACGCTCGAGGGGATGACAATTTTGGGTAAGTTTTCTTTCAAACCCTTTGGATATTTCAGATCTGTCGCTCACCGTTCCCAGTTATGAGGGTATGGGTACCGAAGAGGGCCCCAAGCCAAAAACAAGAGACGGCTACGAATCTCTCAAGGTATGGAACACTCTTCGCTCATGCCATCTCTCAGCCCAACTAACTTTTCTCTCATAGATTTCCCGTCGAGAATTTCTCAAAGGCTCGACTGACCTTACTTCCTCGGTCCGCTCCCAATCAGATGTCTTCTTCTCATTTATCAAAGACGCTCACAATATCACCCTTATGATTCTCTCGCGTCTCTCAACTCAGCTAGGCCTCACCGGCTCCAAGCGGTTCGAGTCCTATCACGCCGACCCTGTGGCAGGAGTGACCTCGCTTTCAACACTTGGCATGTTGCGCTACCCAAAACACGAAGAAGGCACCGAGCCCACTAGAGTAGGCCACAACAAGCACACTGACGTTGGTACTCTCACCTTCTTGCTTGCTAGACAATGGGGTCTTCAATTCCTCTCCCCGGTTACTAAACAATGGGAATTTCTCGAGCCCCGGGCTGGCCACGCCATCATCAACGTCGGTGACAGTCTCCGCTTTCCATCTGGGGGAGAGCTAGCGAGTGTTGTGCATCGCGTCGTTCCGCTCAAGCAAAGACAAGACGTGGATCGGTATAGCATTGCATATTTCTTGCGCCCGAACGATGATGTGAAATTCAGTGACTCAAACGGAAAGGCTTGGACGGCAAAGGAGTGGCACGATTTCAAGTTCAACGTATTCAAGAGTCCAAGTACCTTGGATGCGAATGGGCAATTTTTGACGGGTATGATGGCGGAGAATGATAGGTTCGTGGAGCGTGATAGTAAGATTTCTGTTGCGGTATAAAATGGGTGCACTTGTTGCTTTTTGGATTTTTACTAGAAGTATAAGGAGTTGGGTTGAAAAATTTCCATCTGCTGTTCTGAACTAGATTTTTGGTGATTATAGTGTGAGTCATGTGCTGTGCAATTGTCGCCGATACTTCGTCTTCGGGAGAGCGTAACGCTTGACTCTATAGTGCTTACACTCTGCGATGTTTATTGGGTCCCGTGCCCATTGCTCCTATCGTCGGTATAGCTTGCGATGCCTTTAGAATTGTGCATGCCGACGTTGCCGGAATGTCATCTGGGAAGGAATGGAAAGTTAATGGGCGTGCCTCGTTCATCACAAACATTGCTGTAGTGGAAAGTGTGAATAGCAAGTTCAACGGGACGACGTTAGTAGTTTTGTGAGCCGCCAGAATGAATGTTGCTTGTAGGAGTTGTAGAGCATCAGAAGAGAAAGGATCAAGGATCGGGAGCTTGCGATAAGGATCAGATTAAAGCGCGTACAAGTGGCTAGTGAGCATACCTAGTGGTGATAATGTGGCTGGGGAAGCTGAAGAGAGGTCGTGACATAATATATCGTCACCTCTGTTAGGTAGCGAGGCAGGCTCAATAGAATTCGAAGGTTAGGTGTCAGATATGATATGTATCTAGAATCAATTGTACGCACAATAGTTGTTCGATTCCTTTGTTTTCCTGCATGGACTTCTTTACTGGCATACAAAGAATATAAGGATTTGGATCAATTGATTGATATCGTCTACAATCTACAATCTCCTTGATGGTAGGTAGAGATGGTAGGTAGAGATGGTAGAAATGATACAAATGGTAGAAGGTTCTCGAAGCTTCCATCGCTATCGATGCATCCCCTCTCCCCCGGTTCTATCCATCACCCAGACCCCCCACTGTAAAAACGTCACCGCCCAATCTGTGAATGGCGGGGAGGGAAAGATGGAAGATTCTTGATTCTGTTGGTGGATGAGGGATGCTGATGGAAGATAGATAGATAGATATACCAGACACTTTGCGCTGAGTACCTAGGTAGACTGTAGATCAATAGTAACCTTTTAAAGCTTCCAACACTCATTTACACCTTTCGATATTGACCATTCATCCATCTATATAGGTACTCAAAGTTAATAAAGATTTGTTCGCCAATTAATTATAGCAATTCAATCTCAACTCAATTCGATTGGAATACCTACTCGTACTTACTTGACAACGACAAAGGATTACAATTCCATTCAACATATTCTCTTCTTCCGACAACACGAAAAAAGATAGGTATCGAGGGAAAAGACAACAAGCAGGACTCATACCCAAATACCCAGATACCCAAACTAGCCAACAAATTAAGGAGGGGGTGTGAACACAACTCATCGCTCAAGCTCACAATCACAATCACGAGATCTTGTGAAGAATCTTATCACAGTGGTATGTACATTTCACAATTTCCTGGTATTCTCCTTGTGAGGAAAGAACAAACGAACAACATTTTTCGTTCCTTCTATCCGTCAAGTCTCACCAGATCAACCAATCCATCAATCCAACCAGACTTGCCAGCCACCACTAGGAAAACCAGCACATAAAACCCAACACACAACCTTCCTTCGAATCCTTTAAGAGGTCCTCTATAATTCGACCTTTGTCTGCTGTTTTTTTCTTCTCTTGCAATCCTGGTCACTGACGACATACATTCAAATTCTAGTGGAGGACCGTTTAACAGCCTTCCTACAACCAATCTGCATCTCATAGTCGATAGTCAACATCTTCATTGGACCAGAATTTGCAGTTTGCTGTTGATCTTTGAAGTTGGATACAGCTCATCTAACAACTTCACGACTTTCTGCTTCCCTTCTCAAACCATAGCTCGATAGCAAAATACATTTGAAGAGTAGCAAACATGGTAGCAGAAACAAAACTTTACGATGCATTAGGCATCAAGCCTTCTGCCAATCAACAAGAAATTAAAAAAGCATATCGGTATGTACAATATTACAAAATCCCCTCCTTCATAATCATCCCACGTTCATCTCCACCGCTACTCTCAGCTTATTCATAGAAAAATGAAAACTAACATACCAATAGTGCAATGGCCCTAAAGCACCATCCTGACAAAAACAAAGATAAACCTGACTCGGCTGAAAAATTCAAAGAAGTATCCCAAGCCTACGAAATTCTCTCGGATCCCGAAAAGCGCAAAACTTACGACCAATATGGATTAGAATTTATGCTTCGCGGCGGTCCCCCACCACCCGAGCCTGGTACCAGCGGCGGAAACCCATATGCAAGCGCAGGAGGCATGCCTGGCGGTTTCGAAGGCTTCAGTTCATCTGGTGGTGGCATGCCCAGAGGAAAGACGTTCCACTATGATTTTAGTAGCGCGGGCGGGCCAGGCGGTGGAGGATTTAGTTTCAGTAATCCAGAATCGATTTTCAGTGAATTTTTGAGAGGTCAAGGAGCAGGAGGTGGTGCGGATGGAATGGACGATATTTTCGCAAGTATGGGGGGAGGAATGCCTCGCTCTAGTCCTGGAGGAGCAGGCGGACGATCTAGACCTGCACGCTCGGCATTCCAGGGTGCGGAACCAGCGAGACCGAGGGCAGAGACGCCTGAGGTGACGACAGTGGAAAAACCTCTAGCGTTGAGTTTGGAAGAATTATTCAAGGGTTGTCATAAGAAGATGAAGATCAAGCGGAAGACTTTCGATCCGGAAACGGGCAAGAGACAAACCACCGATCGCATTCTAGAGATGGACATCAAACCCGGATTGAAGAAGGGAAGTAAGATTAAGTTCAAGGGTGTGGGTGACCAGGAGGAGGGAGGACAGCAAGATTTACATTTTGTTATTGAAGAGGTATGTTTTACTTTCCCACCAGGGCTTCCCCCCGTTTTACCCATATACGAGAAATATACTAACCCACCCACTAGAAAAAACATCCATACCTAACTCGCGACGGCGATGACCTAATCATGACCGTCGACCTTGATCTCAAAGAAGCCCTAACAGGTTGGAACCGCACCGTCACAACCATCGACGGTAAAAACATCTCTCTCGACAAAGGAGGACCCACCCAACCCGGCTCCTCAGATTCCTATCCCGATTTGGGCATGCCCCTGAGCAAGCAACCAGGCACGAGGGGTAGCTTTATCGTGAAGTATAACGTGAAGTTCCCGACGAGTTTGACGGCGGAGCAGAAGCGGGCTTTGAAAGATATTTTGTAGGCGGATTTTGCGTTGCTTTTGGGGGGTTTCGGCGTATGGGGAGGGATTTCCTGTTGTTTATATTAGCTAGCGGAACTGGAGTGAGAGCGGGATATAGCAAGCATGCATGATTTGGACTGCTGTTCCGAGTTTCTTGGGATGGACAGATGGATGGAAAGAAGAGAAACATACTTCCTCGACTAGGTTGAATGTTATATGAGAAATGAGGAATGAAATGACGATTCATAATAAATACAAATGCTATTTAGTAGCCCATATTATATATTTGCACACCTGCAAAGAAGATCCATTGCACAGTTATTTTAACATTTGTAATTACTTCAATTAGGTATTCTACGAACATCTCTAGTCTACTGAATTTGTGACTCATACCTGATGTATCAAGCTTCAAATTTCATGCCTCCAGAGTATTGTGCTTCTCAATATGTACAGAATGAGAATATGCACTTTTGAAATATCATCCATCCATCTTGGTTCATCGACCACACAAGAAACCCAAAAATATCATCTAGCCACAACCAAACCTACTCAACAAATCCAACCCGCTTGACTATATTTCCTTCATCTTTCTAACGGGTAGGCAGCGAGAGGTCTTCTTCCTCACGCTGCATATCATCAGTCTCGATATCTTCAATCTCCATGCTATCATTAATCACACCTTTCTCAACAGAATTGCCAGTGAAGTTTTGTAACATGCCGCTACCACTACGTTCCTGCATTTCTTGTGGTGTGTCGTTGGGAAATGGATCGACACCCACAATGAGTGAGTCACTTAGAGTGTAACGAGTTTGTAGAGCCTGCGATTGAGACATCACCCACGAAGCGTCAGTGTACGAGGATTCATTTTTGACTCCATTCCGCTCGTCATTCACCGAAGTGTTGGAGTTTCTAGAAGTGTTTGAAGAAGATCCGACTCCATTCCATTCGTCATTGTAGGCTGGGGTAGATGTATTCTGCTCACGCTTACGCTTTCCTGGCGATCTTGGTGAGTGTTGTGATTCGTCAGGGGGATTCACTGGAGGTTGAGACTTGGGCAATTCCTTTCTAAAAGCGGCATTATCGTGATAAACGAAAGTCTAGAAATTGTTAGTAAGATTATGAGGGCGCATAAAGGAACGAACAAACCTCAAGTTCGGGTGGTGTTGAACGCGTAGCCGTCTCCATTGCCACATCGGAAGCATAAACTAGAATTGCGGTCTCATTCTGAAGTTTAATGTCCTCCAAAACCTTTTCCAAGGTGGTTTTCTATTGTTTTGTTAATGAATTGTCACAAGTTGAATTCTCAAAATACTCACTTCCACTGTTCTTGAAGGAGGAGACGAGGTACTAAAGTGCATTCTCCACCACTGACCATCACTAGGAGGAATACGCTCTTCTTCATTGGCGGCGAAATCAATGAGATCCGGTGCTATGCGGGTGCAAACATAGGTCGTCTCCTTAGTCAAGCTTACGCCACGAAGAGTATATCTGTGCAAGATCCGAGAAGACTTGGCGGGGTCTGTATACAACTTCGAAAGCTCTCTCCAAGCTTCTTTGGCTTTTTCTCTTTCATCTTGTAGTTCTAATTGCTGTTAGTTGGATAATCATTGACCAGTCTGTGTGAACTTACTCTTCAGCTTTGCGTTTACATTGTCCATCAACTTTTTGAGTCCTTTAGACAAATCTGCACTCTTTGATCCGCCCATGGGAACCTCAGAGGTAAGATCACCTATGCTCTTATTACTGGGTGGAAGCTCATTCTGATCATGATTGAGTGACAATCTCATAACATCTTCAACTAGAAGTGTTTTTCCATTGTGAGTGGTCCATTTTAATTGCCTCTCTTGTCGAGAAATATCCTGAATTTTTAGCTGCAAATTGTGCTTTTCCGTACGCATAGCTAATGTCTCTTCAGATACGAACTGCAAATATCTATCAGGATACCATACTACTGGCACTTCAATTGCTTTCTGATCATTCAGCTTATCACCTTTGATTCTGAAAGAAATGACGTCGCCAAGATGATTCAAGAAGGGCCAGTGTTCGAGAGTAAGAGGAAAACCATCCCATAGAGCTCCATCTGCAAGATCATAGAGATTCTCGATAAGAGAATCTTTTGTGGGAAGATGGAGGTCGAATATGGCAAATATGGTATTTCCATCAGAGTCGGGATCTGGAGCATTAGTAGCCGAAGAAAAGATGTGTCTCAATGGTGCCTTGCCCTGCATCAATTTCTTAAAGCACAGGAAAAAATCCGTCTCAACGTCATTCCTAGCGTTCTGTTGCATATATGGAAGTTCGGTAATAACATCCACAGAGCCATAGCTTCGCTTTGTCTGATCTAAGAAAGCCATGACTTTCTGGAGCTCCTGGCCAAATCGTCGATCGTCAGCTACAAAGTTGGGATCTTCCTGCAACGATGCAATGGGGTGTTCTATTGGTCTGCCGCTCCACCAACCAGCCTCGTATGGATAGTAGGTCTCGACGTTGTCTCTTCTGAGGAATACCTCACGGGCGATGGGAATGTTGTAATAGATTGTCAGAAGAGCACCTAGTCTATGTCCGTCTCCAGAAGGCTTAAGAAAGGCGGGTGTGGTAGGTCTTGTGTCTTCCCAGATCCGCAAGCGATCCCATGGTTCTGGGTCTTCATAGATTTCCTTGACACTTGATATAGGAACCATGGCCCAATTATCTCCATAGTCAGATCTTGTAGCAGGACCAAAGTAAGGTTTATCTGTTCCAACTACACCGGACTCTTGCGGGGGTAAGCTAGAGTCTGCCATAGAAGCAGCAAGCGCTTGCTGGAGTTCTTTATCATCGTTGTCGACATATTGGGTAAAGGCAGTGGTAGAATCTGCCGAAGAATGTGTTAGAATGTGCAAACCGGAGCTTTGAAAGAGGACATACCACTAGTCGTGAGATCCACAGCTTTGCTCAGAGGCGACTTATTGTTACTAGTTCTAGATGGTGGTCTAGAGGGTGCAGCGCTTTCGAAATGAGTAAAGGCGGGAAATTCATCTGGGCCTTGGACTGCAAAAGCTGCATCAAAAATTCATTAGCAAGAGTCTTCACATATTTGATTCGAAATAAATGAGCACACAAATACCATGTTGCGCACCACCTCCATCACGATCGCTGTTGAATTGGCTATCATCCCAAGTGTACTGCCACCATCAAATCAGTGACCATATACTACATTGTGCGATTCCATACTGACTCGATTAGGATTCCTTCCAAGATCAAGATCATCATAGTACTCGTTGATTGCTTGTTGAACATTATTATTGTTGCCCTGTCTATATTAGCATCGCACTTTGGGAGAAATGATGTAGCAGGAATGACCCCACCTTCAATCTTAAGATAGCCTCTTGTCGGTTTGTCTGTCCAGTCATGTCCAGAAAGGATTGCACATCTTGAGCAGCTGGTTGCGCTGCCATGGTCGCAGTGGTAGCAAGCTTCAAGTTGATCTTGACTTTTGACCTTTGCAGCTACTAGAATCTTGAAGGTTCTGGTTTCTCCCCAGGTCATAAAGCAAAAGCGAAGAAGCAAAAACAAAAACAAGTAAATCAAAGAGATTATTGAATAGATGAGCTGGATTGCCAATATGACAAACAGGGTCCAGCTACTAGTAGACTTTAGGGTAGTTTGCTAAGAAGGTTGACAATACAAGATGGGAATTGTTTGATGGGCGGGATCCGGGGATGTTAGGGCTGGGGAGCATATACGTCCGAGCTTCATCTCAACCCCACCAGGACACCTTCACTCCGAAAAAATAATACGCAGTAGATCATGCTAAGCCCAACCTGGATGTGAAGAGTAGTAGTGGAGCTCATTCACTACGAGAAGAGGTTGTTCCTCAGGAGGGCTCATCTCCGAGGTCGAGGGCAATTCAATAATCAGAATACACAGATTTCAAATGACCTTGAATTGAATACTACCTAGGTACATACCAAAGGAAAATCAACCTTATAGCAAGACTGAACAATATATGGAGATATCTGTCTACCGCTCTTTTGAACCATGAAAGAGCAGTCACATTATACAGGCAAGAGTGATATCTATAATTCTTTCCCACCAAAGGGGTTGAGCTTTATATGACGAACAATTTGACTATCTATCTTACTCTAAGAAAAAGAATGAATCATATCAAGTTGTGAAGTAAACAAGAAGGAACCATCATAACATCTCAAACACAAACTATACAAGTTTAAACGATCATGTTATTATTGTGAGAGTTCCACAGAAACCTAGAGACCCTCACTAGCAAGACTTAAATTTGCCCTAGATGATAATCTCTTTCACACTCCTAGTTTCCAAAGGGTTCCCTCAGTACATGTGTATTACTTCCCATATCCTATTCTAATCGAAACTTCTTGAATCCGGAGAAGTGTACTAACCTAATCCATTCCCTAAGAGATTAGAGGCATAGTGAGTAGAAGATGCATAGAGGAATCATGTCGAAGTACCTATGTATGATAGTATTCTCATTAATGTATCGCTTACTGCAGATGTGCTACATTCATCGTTTTAGAGCCCTTAAGAACTATATATTTCTGGGAGTGGAAGTGCAGACATAAAGGGAAATCCCCTTGTGACCCCCCCCCTTCACCCAGCATCAAAGCGTTCATTGTCTGATACTCATAGAATATTCGAGTTACATTACCACAACCATGTGGTTTGGCGTAGTATAGAAACCCTATGCCATGCAAAACCCTTTCATCAAAACCTACTGTGTAGGCACAATGATTGTCTCGCAAGCTCTGAAACATTTCAGAGAAGGGGATGATTGGAATCACCCTGAATCGATGAGCCTCATGCCGCCACGGGCAGAAAATAGATGACCTCTCAGGTGCGAGCAGTATGGACTATCAACACCAGTTATTGCGAACTTATCTTGTATTGAACTATTCCTATTCACTGCCTGCAACTATGTAACCCTATCTCACTGCCTACTGCAAAAACCATAGACAAATTATGCCCTCCAAAATACGTAACACCCAATCCATATTCCCCCCATAATCTAAAAGCGCTAAGATCCATCAATGTAAAAAGCATGTTATACGTACGCCTGGAATGCAAATGTGCTTGCATTGTCCTTTGCGCCCCCCATGTAAACCGAGCGGACCGCCGCCGTGCTATGCATTGTAAAATAAAATAAAATGACCCTCCCTCTATCGCAAGTTGTGACCATATGCAATCTTAACAAAGCAGCCAGTATCGTTTAGGAGGTTCGAGAGAAGCAATGAGCTTCAAGAATTAGTCAGACATGATAGCTCTTCCCCCTTTAATCTTCCATGTCTTCATCGTCCTCTTGTTCCTCACCATCTTCTTCCTCTTCGTCTTCATTCTCCATTTCTTCATCTGAACTGTCGCTGGCTCCAAAATCGTCCTCTTCATCACTCTCGGCCCAGAACGCGTCGTCATCTACAAGTTTCGCAGGAGGGGCAGTCTCAAGTGTTTTCGGCATTTCAAACCCGGCCGGAATATCCTGCTTCGAAGCAGCAACAGCCTCTTTAGCTTTCTCGTTGTATTTTTCCCTAGAATCACGGTACATAACCCCAGCATCGACATTGGCGGGAGAATTGATCTCGGGATCATCAAGGAGCAGAAGGATGGAACGCAAGACAGATTCAACACCTTGTAGAGGTGACCAACGTTCACTGGCAGATTCTCCGGATTGCTCGTCTTCTCCAGGTGGGTGCAAGATTGAGATGCATAATTTACCGTCGGGATAGATGTTAGGGTGTTGAATTGGTCGGAGGAATTTGAAGGTAGGAGGGCTGTAAGGATAATTGTCGGTGAAAGTCATTTCGGCCTGTGGTTGAAAATCAGTAGCTGTAAATCACAATAAAACAAAGAATTCTCACCTTAAAGTAAGCACCGTTGAAAGCACTCTCATCGTTAACAACCATCAAACCGACTTGCCATTTAAAGAGGGAGTCTTCATTCATCTGTGTAATAAGGTTAGTTGGTTTCGAGAAGAGCAGCCATTATGCAAGAATTTCCTACCTCGATATTGACCCATTTCTCTTTGGCCAGTCCCTTGTACTCGGACATCAAACGATTTTTCGCAGCAACGGCAGACATTTTGACAAAGTTCTTTATTGTGCACTCTCAAATGGTGTCGATAGAAGTTGAGAAGTAGATTTTTGCAAAGAACTTTGGAGTCGAGACAGGTTTAATTAGAGTGGTAGTTATAGTAGGATGATTTGATCCAGAAACGACTCGAGTAAGACTGAATGAATGTGAATGACAGAGATGAGGTTGTTTAAGAGTGGATGACCAACAAGGTTGGGTGTGTGTCGAAAGTGAGACCTTGTAGAATGTCGGGAGTAGAGGATTGAGTGTTGAGTATTGAGTACTAGGTAGTCAGGAATTCAGACTTTTATATGGTAGATTGAACCGGAAGAACAGAGAAGCCTTTACAATTATCGTCGAAGAGAAAAAAGGAGAAATGTTGGATGATGGTCGAAATTCGAGGATTATGTATTGTTATGTACGAGTACCTATGGTTTTGTAAGAGTTTAAAATAGTCAGTTTCGCTGGCTGATTTGCCCAAGGTACGTTGCGCCACTACTCCGTAGTCTGCAGAATCCATACAGAATGTTTGCTACGGTTATTTTCGGGCACCAGCGACTCGCCTTCAAAGAGCAAGGATTGTGTGACAAAATGACAAAATGAGTGAATCAGTGAATACCCCAAATTGGTTTAAGCTTTGGATTATTGTGGATTCCCAAAAGTGCCAGGGTGAAGTCGAGTGAGCATCTTGCGCTTATCTCCAAAAATAGTCAAAACCCGAGTCGCATGATTTGGATGATTTCAATCAATACTGAGGCATGGCATAATTCATACGGAGTATAGAATCACCAACAGTAGCTAGCCACTTGGCCGGTCGGGATATGATGTTGCCGTATCATCCAACCCCAACTGATGATTTTCGCATTCGTTCAGCAGTACGATATGTGTCCTACCTATGGTGAACTTGTTAACACAATCAAGTACGTACCAACTAGAGGTTTCAAGTATCTCTATGTTGGCAGTTCCCAATTTTATTCCGTGTCATGAACGGAGCCACCGAGAGGCGAGGGGCACGGAGTAGATTTTAAGATAAGCAATCAATACCTAGTTAGTAATCACAAGGACCTAAGTGGCGCTAACAATAATAAGTGGAATACAATCGAATCTTCAATTATCTGCCGAATCGCGGGTACGATGTCATATGTGCCGATTGAAAGGCAACTCCAACCAAACGTTTAGATTTTGTTATCATTGATTTCACTTCAGGAATTTCACAATTACATACGCACTTACTCGTATAACGTGCAGTGGTCGGGATCATGTTGAAGTGTAGCCACTGTAAGCGAATATACCCCTTTATACTATAGTCCCATTCTGTTCCCAATAACCACATCACTACTTGATTTCCTGAACATTGTGCAAATGTTGAACTACTACCAGCTTGGGCACAAATATACTAGATTCCAGTTGAGTCTAGATATGTGGATTACAAACTTTCACATCTTTTTTGAAGTCTTTTCATGATAACAGTGCGACGGATTGATGCGAAAAGTGAAAATATATATATCTTCGAGGTATCAAGGTACAAATTTTGCTAACACAATATAACGCCGTCCCGTTGGTATTGCCATTGATAAACGCCAAGAATCATACTTTACATGAATTCAAGTAGAATCAGTATTCCCACTTCCAAAATTTGTAATCTGAACAACGCTCAAAACGGACTAGAATTATCGAATGCTGTTCATCCCTAATGCTTGAGCTCTTCTTTTCTCAGCATTCTTTTGGGCTAGCCTTGCTTTGGCAGCTGCAACTCTATCTGGAGGCAAGACACACTTTGATGGACTGGATCTTCGGCTCGATGCAACAGTGGTCGGACGAGGTACCCCACGGTCGTTATTTGACTTCAGCTGGTCAACGGCTCTGGATCGAGATACTGTAGCTTTAGGAGGACTTGAGGGAATGTTATATATCTTTGGTCTGGGGCTGTCTAGAGACCTCTCACGACTGGTTCGTGTACGAAGAGGAGGCAAGGACGCGTCTTCGGCTTGCAAGTCCACATTTGGTGAATCGAGGGAGAGATCTGCATATCGATTGGCGAGAGGAGTATAATCAGCCTTCTTCGATTTTTGAAAAGCATATTGTTCCGTAGACGCAAGATTAGTAATCTCAGATAAGGCTGCATGTGACGATCGTTGTGTGATATCAGTGGGTGCTTCAGAATGTGTAGGTTTAGAGGAGGCAACTGTTTTGGATGGCCGTGCAATGGAATGACTCAAGACTGGAATATTACTTGTAAAAGCATGCGACTTCTCAGTTGGATGGCTTCTGGTTCGGAACAGATCATAGCCCGATCCTGTTACTTCGTCATAGGTAGAACCACGAACAAGCTCTCTCAATTTGGCTATCTCCTTCTCGTATGCATCGACCATTGTATCGTATTCGATGGACTTGATATGGAGAGCCTGTTCCAAATCTGTTGTGGCCGATTGCTCACCCTTCAATGATGCAATTTCTTTCTTGAGTTCCACTACTTGATCATGGCGCTTTCTCAAGAGCTGCTCTGCCTCGCGTCTTGAACTCTTTGCCGTTTGCTTCATGTGATCGTAATCTTTTTGAAGAGCCTTTAAGCGATCCTCTTTCTTCTGGCGTTGTCCTTCTACGAGCTTTAAACGCTTCTCCCAGCTTTCTGTATGCTTCTCGAATCGCAGATCGGAATGTAGCAAATCTTGTGAAAGCTTATTGTTTTCCCCTTGAAGCTTAGAAACAGTTCTATCGGCGGTGGCTAAAGCTTGTAAGGCTTGCTCTAATTCATTTTGGATGGAGGCTGTGTCTCTGGGCTCGTTCTTCGCATTTCTCAATTCAGACTTGGGGACAGCTGCCGCAAGACTTCCATCCCCTTCCATAGCTTTGCGAAATTCTTCTACTTGGACACGATATTGAAAAGCTAAGGCAGTCTGACGAGCAAGTTCCCTCATGAGTGCCGGTGAAGTGTCCCCTTTAACCTTCCCATCTGCTGCAATCTGTGACATTAACTCGGTGATATTGTTTTCCATCGAGGCAACTTTGGCTTGCTCTTCCTTCAGTTTTTCTGCGAGATCGAGAGCTTCTGCATCTTTTTTCTTCGCATAAGACTTTGCGAGCTGCTTGTACCCTACTAGCTTCTTCATCTGAGTCTGCGCCTCATCGTGGTACTTTTGGAATTCGGATTTCCAGAATTTGCCAGATTGGGACCGAGGATCGTTGATGTCAATCGTAATATCTGCATCACTGTCGACTCCAGACATTGATTCTTTCGCTAGCTGTACATCAATTGATCTTGAATTTTTTGGTTCCTTCGTGTCATTTCGTGTCTTTACATCCTTCGCCTTGGTCGAAGCTGAATTTGGTAATGTCGAAAAGGTGGTATAAGATTGATTGCGCTTTTTGAATGCACTGTCCGATCCACGAGAGTCTTCTAAAGTCTTTAAAAGCGAGGTCTTTCTGCTCGGCTGTGATAGTTCTTCCGGTTGGGCGATCCATGAAGTGAGGGCTTTCCCTGGTGTTGGTGCCCTGCCAACAATCTTCTGTGGCCTGTCCTTTCCTTCGTTATCATCAACATCTGATCCGAAAGAAACCGTCTTTCTTCGAGTCGCCGCAGTTCCAGGTGTCATTAATATTCCTGGTGGTTTCGTTGGGGAAGCTGATAGATAATGTGGCAGCCGATTATCTCTGCCTGATATTGGATCGTCCTCCTTTTCAAGTCCATAAAGCGTATCGTCTTGCGGAAGGCCAGGCGTACCAAAGAAGGCACTTTTGAGTGCGCGAGCAGCAAAGACCGGGGCTGGAGTCTCCGGTGCATCTATCTCGGGGTCTGCACCTATGAAGTGTAAGCATTTTGCGTCTTCTATATACTTGGGTAAGTTATGATAAGTTTATACCTGCAACGCGCTCGGCACCATCAGGCCGTCCTAACCACCAGTTGAGCATATTTAAGGTGGCAAATTGTAAGAAGTTTACGAAAAATCAATGCCCATAGATTTTCCACCAATTAGTAATTCGCGAAGGTGGTTATCAAGACTATCATAAAGTACAGTACATCCATAAACTTCCTTTGGAAAGTACAATTAGTGCCTGAACCCTTTTTGTTTACTTACAAGGATTAGATCGGACGCGAATGTGCCAGGCAACCGCAACCGCAACCGCGATTCCCCGCGTTTGAGCCTTGCCCTGACATGGAATTCACTGATGTCCCTAACATCTAATTGGGCACTTGATGATCAAGGCTATTTCAAGCTAATAAATTCCCTAATTAACATATAAATTGTCTCCATCCAAATGCTTGTCCGGATAGACCTACCTTCAAGCTCGCGATGAAAAGAAAACAACAAGACAAGAAGGAAAGAACAAGAGGCAACAACGACCTTCATGTTAAACGAACTCGATCAAGTAATCGAATATCGGCAGAAGTACATCACCAATCCGAGGACGTTATTTCTCCAAACAACAATATTGCAAGTAAACGAAGTCAATCTCCTACTAGGGAAAAAGAGAACAATATCGGTTTAGAAGATTCGGAGGAAGACAGAGAAATAAATCTGAACAACAATAATGCTACGCTACCAGAATCGCAGTCGAAGGCTGACGGGTCACCCAGTCGTCCTACCTTAAGCCCGATTAAAGCTCAGAATCAATCGACTCCCAAGTCTTTACGACATGGCGACAAATTATTCGCAACGCCTATCAAAGTCAAAGGCATAACTGGAACAGATGAAACTCCACGCCTTCGACGCAACATTGATCGATCGGCCAGGAGGAAGAGTACTAGAACCCTCATTGAACGTACAGTATTAGGCCTCAATAGCGACGATGATGACGAGGAAGAGGATATTGCGAACCAGATATACGATTCAGACGAAGATGGGGGAATTGGAATGCGCAACGACGATACAATTCAAGTATCTGAAGATCTACGCGAACCTTCTACTCCCTCTAAGCGTGGACGGGGGCAATTAAAGGGACCAAAGGCTCGGCAAAGATCATTGACACCACCTCAGGATCTTACACCTCACGAATTATACTTCTCTCAAAATAAGCCCGGGAGATCCAAAACTGCGAATTCCAATCTATCTTCTTTGGCGTTACTAGACCACGAAGAATATTTTAGTCTTGCTCGGAACTATAAAGACCAACACGAAGATGATATGAATTTTCTACAGGATGTACATGCCAAATCTTTCAACCAATGGCAATTTGAGCTCGGCCAGGACTTCAACATTTGTGTTTATGGTTGGGGTTCAAAAAGGTCTCTTCTTCTCAAATTTGCGGAGCATATCTACAACACCATGACTGATCATTCTCGGCAGAGAATAGTCGTGGTGAATGGTTATGTACAAAACCTCACAATCCGAGAGCTTTTGAATACAATAGCCTGTTCTATCTCTGGTCATGGCACGAAAATAGGTTCACAACCCGCAGAAATGCTTGAAAACCTCACGAATATACTTGATGAAGACAAAACTCAACATGTGACTCTAATAATCCATTCTCTCGATGGATCTGCTCTTCGTCGCCCTGCATCCCAAACGATACTCTCACGCTTGAGTTCTCACCCGCAGGTACACCTAGTTGTGTCTGTAGATCACCCTTCCTTCCATTTGCTTTGGGATAGTTCGCTTCGCTCGGCTTTCAACTTACTCTTTCACGATTGTACAACTTTTCTACCTTACACAGTAGAAGTTGACGTTGTAGATGAAGTGCATGAACTTCTGGGCAGGAGCGGACGCAAAGTAGGGGGTAAAGGAGGTGTAAGCTTTGTGCTCAAGAGTTTGCCTGAAAATGCAAAGAATCTTTTCAGAGTCTTGGTTGGGGAACAACTTGCAACTATGGATGAAAACCTCATCGGCGAGCATAATGATGACGATGAAGATGGCGTACATGGAGTTGCCAGTAGGAAGAGTGAGCCAGGTGTGGAATACAGGGTGCTATACCAGAAAGCTGTTGAGGAATTCATTTGCAGTAATGAGATGAATTTCAGAACGTTGTTGAAAGAGTAAGTTTGTAGTCGTCGTATCGATATATGATGATAGCTAATCCTTGCTTAGATTTCATGATCACCAAATGATAGAGAGTAGAAAAGATGCTCTGGGGACAGAAGTGCTGTTTGTACCTTTTAGAAAGGAGGAATTAGAAAACATTCTTGAGGATATTGTATCGTAAGGGATTTTCAGCTGTTAGATATTCTTAGCAAGGTGTTCAGGACTGCATATTGAGCATTTAAAGGTATGGCATAAGAGGGCCCTTTGACAGTCAATCAAATTAATTCATATTCAATTATCTCACCATCCCTTTACAATTCTCGTTGTTCTGTCAGCTACCTATGCATATACCAGCTCCAGATGGGCATCTAGTTCTCACAACTTTCAGGTCCAGTACCTAGGTACTTTAAAAATGCCCTTGGCAGGCAATTAATTTCGAATGTGGGTGTAGCCTTGCAGGCTAGGCTGACAAGGCTAACCCCACTAACAAGAATACCAAATTATTTTGGCTATACCGAGTGCCGTCACTCAATTAAATTCTTCCTAATGTTACGTCAAATACACAACAAATTTAGGAAGCTGTTAACAATGGCTCGTGCAGCTCCTAAGAATCCTTTATTATTTGTTCTCGGTGCGACTGGTACTGGAAAATCACAAGTGGGTCTAGAAGTCTGACATTGAAAACGACGGCTAATTAATCATCCTACAGTTGGCTATCGACCTCGCAAAACGATTTAATGGCGAAATAATAAATGGCGATGCTGTGCAAATGTATGAAGGTTTACCTATCATTACAAACAAGGTCACTGTCGAAGAACAGAATGGTATTCCACACCACTTGCTAGGATTCATTCCCCTGGATGCGGAAACATGGACGGTAGGCACATTCAAGGATCGCGCAAGCCAGATAATCCAAGAAATTCGATCCAGGGGACGAATACCTATTGTAGTAGGCGGAACGCATTACTATACACAGTCTCTTCTATTTGAGCATGAGCTCGTTTCCTCCGAGAAAGGTTCTGGGGAAGGGCAGGATAATGAACAACTCTCCATAGAAGAAATATCCAAACGTTTCCCAATACTCGATGCACCCACAGAACAAATTCTGGAGCGATTGATAGAAGTTGATCCTGTCATGGCTGCACAGTGGCATCCTAATGATCGGCGCAAGATTCAAACATCGCTGCAAATATTCTTAACAAGTGGAAAGAAAGCCTCCGACATCTATAAGGAGCAGAGAGAGACCAAAGCCATGGCCCAAGCGACCTCGGACGGTAACTCGGATCAAGCAGAGGCATTTAACATAGGTTCACCATTGCTATTTTGGGTTCATGCGAAATCAGATGTTCTCAAATCGAGGCTTGACAAACGAGTCGATAAGATGATTGATGTTGGCCTATTGGATGAAGTCAAATCGATGGAGAACATTCGCCAAGAATACATTCGTGGTGGTACTGATCTTGATCTTTCTCGTGGAATATGGGCCTCTATCGGCTGGAAGGAATTTGAGCTGTACCTACGCGCCCTTGAGCAGGAGGACAGAGATCCAAAAAAGCTGAATGCCCTCCGCGATGATTCGCTAGAAAAAATGAAGGCAGCCACCCGACAATATGCGAAAAGACAAATTCGATGGATCAGTCTGAAATTGATACCAAGTCTTGTTCAAATGAACGCCCTCGATAGGTTATATCTCCTCGATGGAACGGATGTATCATCATGGTTGGAGAATGTGTCGGACCCTGCTGTTGGTATTACCCAAGAATTTCTTCTTGGCAGCAAGCTTCCATCACCAAGTGAAATGTCAACTCTAGCCGGAGAATTCTTGAATCCCGAAAAGCCCTTGCAGCACTCTGAGAGCAAAGCCCGATGGGTGCCACAGAAATGTGAAATATGTCACATCGTCGTTATGACTGAAGGTCAATGGCAAGTACATTCAACAACCCGCGCCCATCGACGAATGGTGAAGAAGCTACAGAAAAATGGGGTAACTGGTAGGTCCTGTCACGATAGCGAAAGGGGTGGTGGCACATCATCATTTGCTACTTGAGAGGCACCAATGCTGTGCCCACAGACATAAATGACCCAGATCTCCAACCCCCACGCCAGACCAACTGAAAAATTTGGTAGCTTTCGGAACTCGTGACAGATCTTTGGTAATATGACCATCATCACAATTGTAGCCAAGATCCAGCCCTACGGAAAATCGACGAGAATGAAACCAAGAGTAACTTGACATCTTACGCGAGGCTATTAGTAAGACTCCTGGTTGTACTTGATGCTGTACATCAAAACGGAGATTAGGAACTACTACAAACGTAGAATTTCCCACGCCGGCTGTACCTGGAGTGGTAGTACTTCGTGGAGCGCTTTTTGTGTGTACACGCGAGAACGAACTCACACCAGATAATTTCAACAACTTGTTCTGGGCTATAAATTTAATTTCAATAGGTTCGTCGAAAGCTTTTGATTTCCCAAAAATTGATAAGATGGAGACCATTGATATGGGCGAACAAACTTTTTTATAAAAAAATTATATAAAAAAAAAGGAGCATCTCGCTGTGGAAAATTGTCTCACTGGTTTCGGTCCTGCAATGTTCTCTCAGCTACTACCTATGTAAATATTGTCGACCATTACATCCCGTGTCTTAATTGGAGCCAATCTATCTGGTAATCCGATAACGAAAGTTTGACAATTTAATTTGTCAATTCAAGGAGGCTTCGATAGCATGTGGAAATTTGCGACTTGTTAGATGTGGGAGGAAGGTGCGATGCTAAAAACGAGGACTACTTACGTACCAAGAACCTAGTACACGGGATTCGATATATATGTCAACCTGCTTTGCCCTTGACATGGCATTTACAACTTAATTATTACAGCCACATGGAATTTGCCCACCGACCGTGCCAACCCAGAACCCCAGCAATTTATTTACTCGAGCTTTAAACGTGCTCTCTCACAAAGCTTGATTTGAACGCGAATGACAAGGGGAAGAAAGCGCCCCGCAAACGTCCTTCTCAACAGACTGTTTTTAGATATATCTTCAATGGGTACTACGCAACTTGATATATATTTAAGAACTTGCAATACAAATCTCAGTGTGTCGTACGACATAACTATTAGCAGTATCCTTTATATCATACAATAACAGCAACCAATCGAATTGCTCGTGGTATCTTTTTAACAATCAATCAATCAATCGAGCAAGGAGGCCCTGTTCGCTCCATGAGGGATTTATTTCCCAGATATCATTTTCGCAGCTAACCTAACGTTGACCAGCGAACTTGGATCGAGTTTTCACTACAAAGACCACATTTATAACAATTCAACACCGAACGCATTCAATTTTTATATGAGCGATTTGATACAACGTCTAAAATGCAGAGATTGGCGACCACTTGCATGGGTGCTTTCAATTTTATTACGTTGATGTCAAAATTGACGGGCTTCCAGATGCGCCCTGAAGTTACAGATCTAGACCACATTCGGCTTTGGCTTCTGGAATGCAAGTGAGTTTGTATTATATGTAGGTAGCTGTATGATGGAAACAGCTTGTGTTACTACCCACCTATCTATAACATTCTCATGAGATGCGAAATTGTTCCGCGCGATATATATCACAATCAGAAAATTTGTATATGCTCCCACGCTTACGCCACAACTTCTGGTAGGACAATTCATTTTTTCTACAAAAAAAATTGGGCCAAGGTAGGTCTGTATCCATCAACTAGTCTTTTGGAAACAAAAGATAATTTGGCACTGCCCCCATCTGCTTGCCGTACCTACTCGAGCTTGTTTGTTGCTGTATCTCCTAAGTCTTTTACTACTTGCTCTTCTGATCTACTTAAAGTTGTTGTTGGCCTCCCTCAAAAATTCAAATCGTTCGAAGTCGTCGGGTTGTTTGATATCCCCAAGCCGTTTCTGTTTTTGGTAGCTTCAATTTCTTCCACCCTTCTCTCCATATTCACTTCTTTTTATCGTTGAACGGCCAACAAGTGGTGCGACTCCAAGAGCTCTTCTGGTTTACAGCTGTACTTTCCTACCCACTCAAGTGGCAGTTTCGCATTAGCAAGGCATTTCTCTAACAACAACACATCTGCGAAGCCTTTGATCAGCTACTCCTCTAAGACCCTCACTACGATACTCTGACGATCAATAACATGGACGAAAATCTGTGCCTACCTCACTCGAGGATCACGACGATGAAATCTTTCACGTCCAACCTAGACCCGAAACCCGAATCAGATTCGGCGCACAAGATGAAGAGACGGGCAGACAAATACACACGCTCCCTAGAATGACTCGGACAGCCACAAACAACTCGCAGCTATCAACTACAAGCTCAAGGCGCCGCAGAGTTTCCATCGATCCAGCAACTGCTCTGCCAATTACTTACCGCACTGTATCTTTTGCCATTGAAGAAACTAAAGAAAAACAGCGAATCGATGCAGATCGTGCAAAGAAGGGCGCTGCAGCTGAGCTTGGTGATTTGGAGTGGCATACTTTGTCGACAGACGATGTTGTAAATCGGTTGGAGACATCACTTGCCCAAGGTCTTTTGAAAGAACAGGTTGAGGTCAAGACAAAAGAATTCGGAAAGAACATGCCTTCGAAGCCACCTTCAGACTTGTTCTCGAGGGGTAGGTTTAATCTCATATTCATTGGCGATTCATCTATGCTCTCATTTGTTTGGAATCTTCTCTAATCTTTTTATTCTTTAGTCTTTGGATATCTATTTGGTGGATTTGGATCAGTGTTGCTGATTGGTGGTATTTTGGTCACTATCACCTATGAACCATTAGGAGAACCAAATCCGGCACAAGCAAATCTTGCTCTTGCAATCGTCCTCTATGCTGTCTTCGTCATTCAAGCACTATTCAATGCATGGCAAGATTGGTCGTCGTCTCAGACCATGGCATCTATCTCCGGTATGCTTCCCGACGACTGCTTTGTCCTCCGCAATGGCAACCGCGTAGAACTTGCCGCAGTTGATCTAGTTCCCGGTGACATACTTTATATAAAGGCCGGTAACAAGCTACCTGCAGATGTGCGGTTCGTTGAAATCTCATCCGATGCTAAATTTGATCGCTCCATCTTGACTGGCGAGTCACAACCCATTGCCGGTTCAATCGAAAATACAGATCTCAATTATCTGGAAACGCACAACATTGGTATGCAGGGAACTCATTGCATCTCCGGAAGCGCGATAGGAGTCACTGTGAGCACGGGAGACAAGACGGTCTTCGGAAAGATTGCCAAATTGACCAATACGCCGAAGACAGGCATGACGACACTGCAAAAGGAGATCTTGAGGTTTATCATAATCATTTGTTCCATCATGGTATTCTTCAACATAGTTGTCATTGTCTGTTGGTCTGCATGGTTAAGACATTCTCACCCTGACTGGATTTCCACTGCCGGATTGATTATTGGTATGTAGCTTTTCCTTCTCTCGCTTATCTGGTCCATCACAGGAAACTAGAAGGGATCTTTGGCTAAGAGATTTTTACTGCAGATATCGTAACAGTGGCAGTTGCATTTATTCCGGAGGGTTTACCCATCGCTCTAACCGCTTCCCTAACCATTACGGCGAATATCATGAAGAGCAACCAAGTCTTGTGCAAATCCCTAAAGACTGTCGAAACATTGGGAGCTGTGTCAGTTATTTGCTCGGATAAGACCGGAACCTTAACAAAGGTAACATTAGTGGCACTTGTCCTTAAATATTCTCAGAGATCTTCCAGCTAATTGTCTCCTCAGAACAAGATGTTTGCAACCGAGTGTTCAATCGCAGAAAAAACAATGACGCCTGAGCAAGCTGTTGAATTCCAAAATCTCAATGGCAAGACTACCAATTCTGTGGCTCAATTGCGATCCCTGGCAGGTTTATGCAATGCTGGCGAGTTCGATGCTGCTACGCTCAATCTGCCTCTTGCGGAAAGGAAGATTGCAGGAGATGCGACAGATCAGGCAGTTCTTCGACTATCAGAAACATTTGGAGAGGTTCGACAATTGCATACTTTATGGAGAAAGACTTTCGAACTAGCATTCAACAGCAAGAACAAATTCATGATCAGGACTCTGAGGCTATCTGACCCCGAAGGCTTGGAACTTGCGGTGTCACCTGAGGAGCTAGCCGAATGGAGAAATGAAGATCTTCTGTTGACTATTAAAGGAGCCCCAGATATTCTAGTGGAGCGCTGTACCAATTACGTTGGTGAAGATGGAAATGTGTACCCGTTGAACCCGGAGAAGAAGGCGTCTATTGAAGGGATAAAAAACAAATGGTCAAGTCAGGGAAAGAGGGTGATTCTACTTGCAAGAAAAGTTCTTCCAGGCCACCAAAAACAGCATAGACCCGAGAACAACACTTTTGAGGCCGAGATCATGCGACAGGCTGACAGCGATTTGACTCTAGTTGGACTTGTTGGCATCGTTGATCCTCCTCGAGATGAAATCCTAGACGTAGTCAAGGTTCTAAGAAGAGCTGGCATCCGAATTTTCATGGTCACTGGTGATTTCAAACTCACAGCTCAAGCTATTGCTATTGAGTGTGGTATCATCACTACGCCTTCTGACATGATTCACGATGTTTCTAGACTCAGCAGAAATGGTATAGAGACCCCAAAAAGCATTTCGAGTGGTGTCATCTCTGAGAAAGACGTGGACTCTAAGCACGGAGATGCGAGGTCGATAGCTCTGAGCGGTCCGGATTTGATGAGTTTGAACGATAATCAATGGGATCAGCTTTGTCAATATGAAGAGATTGTTTTCGCACGTACTACTCCTGAGCAAAAGCTACGCATCGTCAAAGGTATATTCTCAAGTTTACTTCATGCACTATTTTGTATATGACTAACAAGAATACAGAATTTCAGAAGCGTGAAAATATTGTAGGTATGACAGGCGACGGAGTCAACGATGCCCCATCTCTAAAGGCCGCCGACATTGGTATCGCTCTCGGTAGTGGCTCAGATATCGCCATTGAGGCTGCCGATATGGTCCTTCTCGATTCTTTCGGTGCCGTTGTCGAAGCCGTTAAATATGGTCGTGTGGTCTTTGACAACCTCAAGAAAACTATTATCTACCTTCTTCCCGCAGGAACCTTTTGCGAATTCCTCCCCATCATTACGAACGTCGTTCTAGGTCTTCCTCAAATTCTGAGCTCTTTCCTCATGATTATGATTTGTTGTCTCACAGATTGTGCTGGTGCCACAGTTCTTGCTTATGAACAACCGGAGGCCGATGTACTTTTGAGGAAACCAAGAGATGTTAAAAAAGATAAGCTGGTTGATTGGAAATTGTTATTTCATGCCTACATTTTTCTGGGTGTACAACAAGCTATTGCGTCATTTGCGATGGCTTATTGGTATTGTCAACGGAGAGGAGTTACATTTTCGATCTTGTGGTTGGGCTATGGAAAGTATCCGCCTCATTTGAGTGATGCATATGTACAGCAAGTGTTGGCTGTGGCTAGTAGTATTTATTTTGTCAATTTGGTTATCATGCAGTGGTTTAATTTGATGGTAAGTCACTTTCCTTCACTTTGTACATTTTCTCCCCAGCTCTTCTTGCTTTATTTTCTCAATTCCTGACTAACCAAAACCCAGGCAACTCGCACCCGTCGCCTCTCAATTTTCCAACAGCCACCTGCATTCAATAAAGCAACACAAAATCTCTGGCTTTTTCCTGCAATACTTTTCGCCCTCGTCGTAATATTCATATTCCTCTACATACCAGGATTGGCGTCTGCAATCAACAGTAGCCCAATTCCAGTGGAGTATTTCTTCTTGCCGTTGGCTTTTGGTATGTGGATACTTTTCACGGATGAGGTGAGAAAGTTTTGTGTGAGAAAGTGGCCAGAGGGTTGGTTGGCGAGAATAGCTTGGTAGAGGGGCAAAGAAGGGAAGGCAACTTTGACGCATTTGGGGGTAGAGGATAGGAGGTTAGAGCTGTTGGGAGCGGTAATGCAAGATGCTAGATGTTTTGGGTTTATTAGAATGTAGAAATGGGAGGGATTCTTGATTTTGATGGGCGGCGCTAGCACTTCTTCGTTACAGATTATGATCATGATTATATCAGAATACGTTTCGACGAATTTATGGACAATGAAAGGATTGCGATTCACTTTGTATATGATTTAATGACCAACGCTTGGTAGCATTCTATACATAGGTAGACAGTTCATCATACCTGAGTTGACTATAAATGAAACTTCTGTGAACTCTTGATCAAAATTCAGATAACTCATAGTTTGGGTATTGGAAGAGAGTATTCTATTACTTTTGTGAAGACAATTAGTTGCTATTGATAATGAGAACTCAATGGCTTGCTTGATGCCGCCAATGATTGAATCTTCCATTCAATTTTGAAGTTGGAGATGTGTCTTGAATGATATATGATAATATAAATGACCCATACAAAGTACACCAGTATGAATAAATCATAAGAAATTCTTACTCATCTCATATTTTCATCTGTTCTCAACATCTTGCATAAAAGGGGTACGGACGGACACTAGTGAAGCTCTACCATTTGCTGACTCATCCCCATGCACCCAAAGGCCACATCTTTACATTAAGGCACCAGTCCCAAAATTTACTAGTGCCACCACCTTGAATTAACCCCAAGCTTTGAGATCTGTTCGGATTATTATTCCTGTCAACACTTCACAATCTGCGACATTTATTCAAATAGCAGAGCACAGTGCCAACGTGCCATTCTTTAACTCTTCTTCTCATTCTCCCTTTTCCACTTCTGTGAGGTTTTCAGATATTAAACCGCCAAGATGAGTGGCCGTAAGTTATATCTTTTCTTCCTGCACAGCTCATCGTCATAAGTGTGGATGAGCTTCTAAAACTTCAAATTTCTTCCCACAATCAATTGCAAAATACTGACAATGTATCTTTATAGTTCGATTCCTCGATCTCATCAAACCCTTCTCGCCGTTCCTCCCTGAGGTTCAGCAACCCGAGACAAAGGTCCCATTCAACCAAAAGTTGATGTGGACGGGTTTGACATTATTGATATTCTTGGTTATGAGCCAAATGCCATTGTATGGTATTGTGTCCTCGGATACCTCCGATCCTTTATACTGGTTGAGAATGATGTTGGCAAGTAACAGAGGTACCTTGATGGAATTGGGTATTACACCAATTATCTCCTCCGGAATGGTTTTCCAACTTCTTGCTGGTACCCATTTGATTGATGTTGATCTTGACTTGAAGGCTGATCGCGAGTTGTATCAAACCGCGCAAAAGCTCTTCGCTATTATCTTGTCAATGGGTCAAGCTACTGTTTATGTCTTTACTGGATTGTACGGTCAACCATCCGATCTCGGTGCTGGTGTCGTCTGCCTTCTCATCCTTCAATTGGTTGTTGCCGGTTTGATTGTTATTCTCCTCGATGAGCTCCTCCAAAAGGGATACGGTCTTGGAAGTGGTATCTCCCTCTTCATCGCTACCAACATCTGCGAGTCTATCATCTGGAAAGCATTCTCTCCCACTACCATTAACACCGGTCGCGGCCCAGAATTCGAAGGTGCCGTTATCGCACTCTTCCACTTGCTTTTGACATGGCCAAACAAGCAACGTGCTCTCCAAGAGGCTTTCTATAGACAACAACTCCCCAACATCATGAACCTTTTGGCCACTATCGTCGTTTTCGCAACTGTTATCTACCTCCAAGGTTTCCGCGTTGAGATCCCAGTCAAATCTTCCCGCCAACGTGGTGCTCGTGGTTCTTACCCAGTTCGTCTTTTCTACACCTCCAACATGCCAATTATGCTTCAATCCGCCCTCTCTTCCAACGTCTTCCTTATCTCCCAGATGTTGTACTCCCGCTTTTCTGAGAACTTGCTTGTCCAGCTTTTCGGTGTTTGGGAGGCAAAGGAGGGCTCAGCACAACTTTTCGCTACTTCCGGTATCGCATACTACATGTCCCCACCTTTGAACTTCACCGATGCTCTTCTCGACCCAATCCACACTGCCGTCTACATTGTTTACATGCTTGTCGCATGTGCCATCTTCTCCAAGACTTGGATTGAGGTTTCCGGTTCCGGCCCAAGAGATGTTGCTAAGCAACTCAAGGATCAAGGACTTGTCATGGCTGGTCACAGAGAACAAAGCATGTACAAGGAGTTGAAGCGCATTATTCCTACTGCTGCCGCATTTGGTGGTGCTTGTATTGGTGCACTCTCTGTTGGTAGTGATTTGATGGGAGCTCTCGGCTCTGGAACTGGTATTTTGTTGGCTGTCACGTAAGTACATTCATTTCAATAGTACCCAATACAAATGACTAACACTTTCATAGTATTATCTACGGATACTTTGAGATCGCCGCAAAGGAGGGTGATATGGCCGGCATGAAGGGCATGATCATGGGATAAGGAAATCCCTTTTCATATCTTTCAAATTCTTCTTGTATGCTTGATTACATAAAAGAAAAGCAAAATGATTTAGGATTGGTGGTTGTTAGGAAAATCGGGACGGGTTTCGGAGATCAAAGATGTGTAGATGAAAGAGACAATATCATTTTATCTACATACTGACTATGATCTTTGTGTAATGTAACAATAGGTGCGGATAGGTTGGGGATGGGGATGGGTGTACTTTTTGGGACTGCATTGCATGAATTCTGATGGTAGCATGAGATATAAAAAGCAGGCACTTATTGTACAATTTGCAAAGAAACGTTTGATAAAGATTGGGTTTGCGTTGTGATTGTAATTGTGATTATAACGATGTGGATACCGAATGCTATGCTATTTAGAAGCTATACCAAGTGTGCTGTTGTAGGAATTGTACTGTGATTATCATATACTACCTAGGTAGGTAATAATAGCTCTATCAAAGTGTAGGTACGAAGCATAAAGTTAGTGAATTAGTTGATCGGTTAGTTAATTATTAGTCTGTCTGTTATTTATTAGTATGTGTGAATTAGATACCTTAAGTAGTTTGTTTGTTGGATTAGATCTCTTAGGGGAATAGGGTATAGGTAGTTGGTCAGTTAGGTAGATCGGTAGCTACCTACCTAGGTAGACTTAATAAGTAGTTGGTCGTTTCTTGCTTTGCTTTGCTTTGCTTTGCTTTGCTTTGCTTTGCTTTGCTTTGCTTTGCTTTGCTTTGCTTTGCTTTGCTTTGCTTTGCTTTGCTTTGCTTTGCTTTGCTTTGCTTTGCTTTGCTTTGCTTTGCTTTGCTTTGCTTTGCTTTGCTTTGCTTTGCTTTCTTCTTCTTAATCATATATCCACCATCACTCCCCCCCCCCCTCCCCCTAGAACCCAGACATAGAGCCAGAACCGCAACCAATCAACCAATCAACCAACCACTCAATGACATTGAAATTTGAAACGTAACAAGTTTTTCTGATTTTAATCCTTATTTATTCCTCATCGTTATCGTCTCCCTTTTATATAAAATGTATACCTCGTTGGACCTTGCCCAACCACATCCACCACCAAATCTACTCACAGCAGCACAAATAAGTAATTTTTCCACCACCCACCGATCCCAAATGCAAATAACCAACCAGGCCCAACAATCCATCTACAGAATTTCAAAATCCCAATGCATTTATTTATTTACCACAAAAGAAAGAAAAAATTATGTATAGTTCTTCCCCTTTCTCCAAAATGCACTATACTACATCCTTCCTTCCTTTCCTCCTCGCTTTTCCCCTCTCTACTCATCATCCACCAGAGTCTTTGCCTCCCAAGCCTTCTTCGCCGCCTCCTTCAACCCGTCCAAATCTCCACTCGTCTCACACATCCCTCTAAAAATCGCATCCTTCCCTTCCTTCTTCAATAACTCATGCGGATGGGCATATTCCACCACCTCTCCCTTATCCAATACCAACACCTTATCATAATCCACAATTGTTTGCAAACGATGCGCAATTGTGATAATCGTACTCTTGAGCTCCCTTATCGTTTCTTGAATCTTGGCATCAGTGGTATAATCAATAGAAGCAGTAGCTTCATCCATCATGAGAACCTTGGGTTGTTTAAGTAAAGCGCGAGCTAAACAAAGAAGTTGTCGTTGACCTTGTGAGAGATTGTTTCCTGATTCTGTAACGGTGGAATTGAGGTTCAAGAAGATATTCTTATTGGTAGTTGTAGAGCCTGATAATGATTCAATAGATGGTGGTCGTGAGACACCTGGTGTGGAAGGAGCTGTCGATGTTCCTACTGGTCCAATCAAGTGAACCCTTCGTAGAGCCGTAAAGATATCTTCATCTGTAAAGAAGTTGAAAGGATCTAAATTACTTCGAATGGTACCTGTGAAAAGGGTTGGATCTTGTGGTACGATGGTTATTCTCTCACGAAGATCACGAAGGCCAATAAGACCAACATCAACATCATCAATCAAAATCTTTCCCTCCTCGGCCTCAAGACCACGGAATAGAGCAAGGGCAAGAGAACTCTTTCCTGCACCTGTACGGCCAACGATACCAACTTTTTCCAAAGGTCGGATTTTGAAACTGACATTTCGTAATACAGGATCCAAGTCTTCCCTATATCTTGTGGTGTAATTAATGAATTCCACAGATCCTTGACTTGGCCAGTTCTTGGCCGGCTCAGTTTCTTCAATATACTCTGCTGCTTCTTGCTCGACATCCAGATACTCCTTGATTCGCTCTACGGAGTTCATGTTTTGTTCATTCATAGAATATAGCCGTACCATCCAAAGAACATTCTCCGTAAAACTGATGGCATAACTTAGGGATAGACCAGCCGAACCAGCATCAATAGTACCAATACTACTGACAATAAATGCTCCTGCGAAGAATGCGACGAGATCACCGACCAAGTCAATTCTGAATGATAACCATCGATTTGCTGCCCATAGATAAATAAATGGTCGACTATGAGTGTTGATTCGTAACATGTTGTCTCGAACAAATCGCTTTTCATCACCATAAGCTCGGATAGTGGTAACTCCGTTGAGTGTCTCTCCAAATTGCTGGAACAATGGACTTCTTTGAATTGATTCAATTCTCTTCAAATCTCTTGATGATCGAAGATAGAATTTTCCAACAAAGAAGTACATAGCACTGATGAATACACCTGCAATCAAGAAGCCAGGGGTGATAGCAGTGATCAAAGCGACCGTTACAATAATAGCCAAGGCGCATGACATGACTCCAATGGCGATAGGTGCGACTTCTTGATCAACAGCTTCCAAGTCCTTACTAAATCGATTCATGAGTTGACCTAATGGAGTCGAGTCAAAGAACTTAAATTTTGCTCGGGTGACGGCTTTCATCAAATTCTCGTGGATTCTCCAACTTGCGGTAAGAGAACCAAAGAAGAGCCAGAAGTCTCTGAAAAGGGCAATCAACATGCATGCGATACCAATCAAAGCATAAACCCCGAGATAATATCCAACATCAACATCTGGAGCGAGCTTCGCCACAATCGAAGTCTTGTTAGGGTCGAAATATGGTTGAACTTGAGATAACTTTGAGCTCGCGACTTGGATAGTAGAGATAGTATTGCCAATGTAATTGTTTGCGGATAAGTGATATTTGGTTCGGACAGCTTCAACATCATATCTATAGGTTCATTAGCACAAGTCGATAGCTGAAAAGTGCACGTTTTATAGCTTACTGATTTGCCCATTGCTTAATCCAAATATTGGCCCCAAGAGCGCCAACTTGTTGGACTCCAAAAACCATTACAGCGAGAACCCAGAACCACCAAGGACCCATGGCTCTCAAATACAATACGAGGACTCTCCATTTGACACCACCCTCTGCTTTTGTTTCGGCCATGGCGTTTTTCTTTTGCTTGGATTTCTTTGCCTTTGGTTTTGCATTTACATCGTCCGGCTTACCATTTGCAGATTGCTCCTCAATAAGAGTTTCGTTGCTCTCCTCGCCGATGCTAGAAGGGACTCGAGATGGGATTCGTGAGTGAAGAGCAGAAGCGGGGCTTGATTTAGTAATTTCCTCTCCCAATTTCCCTGAAGCTATAACCTTATCTGCGGATCCTTGTTCAGTGATCCTACCATTCTCGAGACAAACAACATATCGAGAATGAGGAACACAGAGAGATAAATTGTGCGTGACTAAGATGCATGTACGATCAAGCATCAATGGTCCTCGAATACAATTATCGAATATCCACTTGGCAGTATGTGAATCCACAGCACTCAAACAATCATCGAGGAGTACATGTTTAGAGTTAGAGTAAAGAGCTCTTGCGAGAGAGATACGTTGCTTTTGGCCACCGGAAAGACTGATGCCCTTTTCACCCACAAGTGTTTCATCGCCATCATCCAGAATGTCCAGATCACGTTCTAAAGCGCAAGCAATTATCACATCCTTGTATCTCTGTTCATCCAGTGGAGCGGCAAACAAGATGTTTTCCTTGATATTAGCGTTCACGAGCCAAGGTTGTTGAGCGCAATAAGCGACGGTTTCGGTAAGACCAGTTTCGGGGTCGGGTCGGACATCTTCACGACTGAAACCGCCAGGTAGGAACACCTTTCCTTTGATTAAAGCCATCTCGCCGAGAAGAGCCATCAGGAGAGACGTCTTTCCAGATCCAGTGGGTCCAGCAATGATGTTCAAATGACCAATTTCGAATTTGACATTCAAATCCATCATTCGGAATGCGGTTGAGACATCTTCATCAGTGAAGGCTTCTTTGCCACCCCAGGACAAAGTAGCATTCTTAAATCCAATCATTTGATTACCATCCTCATCCAAGTTATCATGTGAGAGCTGATCGTACTTTTCAGTCTCGTCTTCATTTAAGAATTCCTCTACTCGATTGATTGATACTTGACTTTCCTGAACATGAGCTATCATGTCGCCCAATTGATCCAGAGGAACGCGTAGAATGTTAAAGAGTGAGATAGCTGTGAATGCGATGGAAGGATAAAGTGGCTTCTTCTCTCCAACCGTATAATAGAGAAACGAGAAGAAAGTAATAACTACCGGGACCGTGTTCCACACAGCAACAGCGAAAGCCCAGATGATATACTTTAAGCGTAATGCTTTCAACTCATCAGCTCGCTTATCATTGACAATATCAGTAAAGCGCTTTTCCCACGCAAAGTATTTAATGATACGAATGTTCTCTAGGACTTCATTGGTAGTATGGATTCTTTTATCGGTAGCTGCCATGATTTTTTTCTGGGCAGCTCCAAAGCCACGAGCGAATCCAATATTCACAGGGAGAAGAATAGCCATGACAACGAGACCTGGAATACTACTCTTTCCGAGGATACGATAGAGAAGATATACAGCTACGATCAATTGGGTTGGAGCAGCAGCGAAGAGGAAGTGAAGATATGCAGTGACTTCGCTGACTTTGAAAGAATCAACAGACATGAGATTTATGATGGTACCAACATTAGCTTGCTCATCTGTCTTCTTTCCAGC